AACAAGACTGACTGAACACAGACAGGCCACAAGGAAAGGTGATGTCAACAACCACATTGCTGAACATCATCGACTTACGAACCTCAGTATTGACTGGGACTCTCCCAATGCCTAACCTACAGCCATAACTACTTTCAATGACTTACTCTGGAGAGCTGGTTTGCTAACTTAGAACAGACTCCCCTAAACAGGTGTCAACTACTACCGGCTCCATACAAACGACTCATTCATGACATTAACATGACAAACGAACTGAACAGAACAACCTAACTTAACCGATGGATTGAAACAGACTAATCATGACTGACTTACACCATTTGAGTCTTACAGCCAGTAACACCACAGCAAAACTGACCGATCATTTTACACAAACTGGACTAAGAATATTTTACTGACAACAACTATTCACTTGACTCTGATGATGACTTCCGCACAGGTTGTCGAAACGTCAGTCACTACCACCAACAAGAGTCCTTCTCAGGACTACACTCACTCGGACGATCAAACTACACTTTCTCAGTATGGAGAATACATAGAATGATGTTAGGTGCAAAAAAGTTAAACTACTCACCATCATCAGTAATTTTGCAGTGGACCAGGTACAATCCCCTTAAAGTAGCACAGTTAGAAAGAATATGCTCCAAGGATACATCTGTCACATGAGAGCACAGACTTAAGTTTAGGATATCAAGATATTTGCATCCAAACACTACTTCCAACACCATATCATCAGTGAGACTCGAACAATAACGGAGATCCAAAACAGACATATTCCTACAGTACTGTGAAATATGGAGTGCTGCCTGTGAAGTAATTGTACAGGAGTTGAGATGAAGTCTTTCAAGCAGCGGACATCTTTGAACAAGTTCACATACCCCAGCATCTTTGCATTTACTGTTGTACTCTACAGAGATGCTTTTAATTTTTGGACAATTTTGTGCAACAGCAAAAAGGCTTTCACAAGTAAGAGAGTGGCACTGGTCCATTGTGAGTTTTTCTAATTTAACACAACCTTGACAAAGCTGAAAAATAAAAAATAGTAATTGTTGGAATGCAAATTAATATTTGAACTCCTGAAATTACAATGAACTGCAGTCACTAAACAAAGAGAAGTTGAAATATTAAGTTAAGTATTAAGAGACAGCAGGAGAGAGAACTTGTTTTGGTCCATATAGCCCTAACAAAAGAAGAGGAAGGTTCAGTGAATTCTAGCTGTACCCAAGATACTATACATAAGCAAGAGAATCTTGATGTGGATGTACTTAGAAGAATTATTCAAGAGTTGGGGTGTATGATCAGAATGCTGTTTAGGGAAGACTGGTTGAAAAATATTATAAAGAAAATTCAGAAATTTATCTTTTTAAACATTCTCAGCATTGTTGACCATTACAAGTTTTGTCTAATTAGGAGATAGAGCATAACTAATCAAAAACATTTTAATTATCGATAGAGCTGAGCATTTCACATGCATGACTTGAACTCTTGTAACTTTAAGTTTGTGATTTGAAGAAATTGTACAGGTCCTGCTGGTTACATGACTGTGTTTTCCAAGTGAATTTTTTCTAGTTCTTTACTGCCATAATAATGTCAGTGATAGCAATAATTAAAAGGAAATGATTGCAAAAATAATTGTAGCTGATTGATTAAATGCACTGCAAACAAATGAGTTGCTCCTTAATTCTCTAGCATTGAAAAATAACCTTGTTGTAGAAGGACCATTTTCTCTGAAAAATGATGGTTGATTATCAAGAAATTTGTGTGTGTACGAGAAATGGTAACATGGAATTTAAAATCAGAAAGAAAACAAGTATCCTTTTTCTGGTAACCTGACTGGGTTTCCTTGGCCAGGTGGTGAATCTGCATGGCTTGGAGGTGGGGGGTGGGGGTGAGGGGGTGAGGAGCGTGAGGTCGGGGGGTCTAGGGGGGGACAGGAAGTCAAGGCACTCCTCACAAATACCGTTATACAGTCTAACAACATTAACAGTCTGTAGATATCAACAAATCTACCCTAACATTTGAAAATTTCTTCACAAAACTCTTAATTGAACCATGTTCTTTTTACTCATAGAAATCATATTTTGATGTGCAAAAGAATTAACTCACCCCTTTGACTCCACAGTCGGTCACACGGCACAAACTTATGTCCACAAATTTCATGTTTTGACAACTTTGTCCAATTTCAGTGAGACAATTGTCAGTCACAGCTGGGCATCTTACAACAGATAACTCGACTAAAAACCGACACTGCTGTAGAGCCTTAATCAAACCCTCTTCAGTAATGTTCGCACATTCTGAAACATCTAAAACACCTCCAGTAGCACTCGATCCATAGTTTGTCACTCGAACAAGAACTTCATCGTCCACCTTTTGCCTTTTCGAAAGTTTCAGTTTTCTCCATAGACTCGGATCAAGAGCTGAATTATACCAATGTTTGGAAACACAGGACACTCGACCCAAGTCTTTCACATCCAAATACGAAAGGACACACAAGAATACCGCTTGTGGCAAGCTGTTCATATCCATTAGTGAGGTGTTCAGACTTGGACTCTTCTCCTTTTGACCACACTTTGAAGAATTTAAGCTCCAGTAGTTTTCCATATTTTTATGTATTTAGCACAAGGTTAACAAACGAAAGTCTTAAGCTCCAGTAACGAAGTGCATAAATTATTTTAGAATCTAGCCTGCCCTGTATTTCCTTCCAAGGTCGTCAAGGTCTTGTTTCAACTGGGGATTCATGTATCCTACATGTAGCGTCCTCGGGGCGGAAGCTCACTCTGGATAACTGTGAAAGGCCCAATCCGCTTTCGAAGTGAATAAAGTATCTATCTAGAACATCCCTTATTAAGTCTAAGCATTTCTTCGTATTGTTCAGCGTCTGTCAGATTCAGAAGAATTATATATATAACAAGTTGGGACGCAAAATGTAGCATACATGAAATATAACTGCAAAAAATTTTCGTAAGTCCCAGACTTCTGTAAATCCACGCCGACTGGCAACATGGCAGCGTTCTTGAAATTTGCCTCCAAAACCATTTCCTCAGATGGGCAACTGAAGTCTCTGGTGAGAACATTTGTAACCCTAAACGTCGCAAGTATCGATGGAAAAATTTTCTATTTCTATGCATATGATCATGAATAGCTAAAGTTCTTACTTTTTACTTTTAAACTTGTGGAATTGTAAGGCTCATCCTCGGTGGAAAAACCTGTGAACCTCACGAGTGACGTAAAACAAAGAAAAGAAAACTTTATAAACAATAGCGTTCAGCTAAACAATACCTCATGAAACAAAGAAAACCTCGTCAGGTTTTCACACCGAGGATGACCCAGGTTATAAGAACTGATACCTTGTCATCTAACAGAAGTCAAGTGGCAAGATACAATTTTAAATAAAATAATTTGTTGTACAGTGATGATAAAGTCAGGAAAAGTTAGCCTTTGGAAAAAATGTGTTAAAATGGACAATATTGCAGTACATCTTTACACATTAGATGAAAGTTTCAAATGTTTTTTTTTTTTGCTTGTATCTGTTAGTGTAGAAAACTAAGGCAGCACATCGAGCCTTAGAAAATTCACTTGTACATATATATTAAAATATGGCCTGAACTATTCTGCTCTACAATTCAACAGCTTTTCCAAGGCTCATCTCCATTGTTCACCAAAACAAGACAATTTTGGAATGCACACTTGCTTGGTAGGTACATAATACTTTAACAGAGTAGAAAAACCTCAACTCAAATTTCCTAGCATGATAAATACTGTAACCATGAAATTCTTAAAATCAAGCTCTGGGTGTTTTGCTACAAATTGATATTATCAGTGCTCTGGGTGAAAAAAAGCTGAGAAGACAAAGGTTAATTGAACTGCAAGCACTGGAGATATATGGTTTGTGGTTTTCTAGTGTTCTTTCATACCTCAGCCTCTAGTACAGTATTTCTCAACATTCTGGCAACACTCCTTATAATTGATAATTCATGTTATGATTTGTGAACTTGGACAGTTATACTTTTCTCCATGTCAACTTTCAGGAACAAATCTGTTGTCAGGATGCAACTCACTTACTCTATCACCATTCCTTCTTGGAACAATTCAGAAAAGAAATATTACCTTACTTACCACATTCAAAGTTGTTGACAACAGTGCACTTGGGAAAAGTGTAAAGAAGAATCGCAAACCGTACTTGATAGGATTTTATAGAAAAAGAAAGACTGCTGATCCTGGAGATGTGATAAGAGTTGCTGTTGCTGGCAAGACCAACAAAGCAGTCGTTATTGGCACAAGGAAGACAAAGCATCACACAATCCCAAGATATGACAACAACTGTATTGTTCTTGTGGATGACAACCTTGCCCCTCTTGGAACACGAATAAAAGCACCAATTCCAACAATTTTAAGAAAGAGACAAGAAAAATTGTCAAAAGTGCTGGCTCTTGCCACAAGATTCATTTGATGCTTTCAACATGAATATGTTGCCAATAAAAGTGTGTTCTTTGTACAGGAAGTTGGTTGAAAACTTTTGGTATTAGTATTTTTGGTAACAAGTACCAAAAACTATGCCTATGATTTTTATTCAAAAATGAGATGATAATCTACAAACCCTCTAGGGGATACTCAAATGCTCAACACAGGGGTGAAATTCACTGTTTTGTTCAAGGTGAAATAGTGATATTTTTGGCTTTGAATGTGTCTTTTTTGTTTTGTTTTGTTTTTTTTGAAGTGAGAAAACAAACCCCAATTTTTGTAAGAAATAGATGGAACAGCCTATTTTTGAACTTTTAACCATTTTCAAAGGCTGAAAAATATTATTCACAAGCTAGTCAACTCCAAAGCAACCTGTTTATTCAATTCAAGTTACATCTTTTTAATGATAATTTACAGAAGCATACAGCCTGTAAAAACCACTATCGGTGAATAATTAAGAGTTTACACTATTACAACATTGAAAAGAAATTGTTATAACAAGCAAAAGGTTCACACTCAATAAAGCCAACAGACATTCACTCAAATTCCAGGTCTTTGCTTTGTACTTGAACATCAATCACCTCTCTGCTTGGCCATTTGGAATCTCACACAGATGAAAGGAAGAGTAAAGCATGTTCCTAGATAGAGGATCATGGTGGCCAGAAGCCTTGGCTTGTTCTTTGTTTGGAAAGGCATGTTCTAGAAGTATGAACAATGGAAAACTGCATATCACCACACTAAATACAAGCACTCAATCATCAATATAGGTTTGAGTTTTGGTGGTTCTATTATACTACACTAATTATTTCAAATGACTGACTCTGGAAAGCTGGTGTGCTAACTTAGAACAGATTTGCCTGAACAGGTGTCAACTACTACCTGCACCACACAAACGACTAAATCGTGATATTAACATCACAAACCAACCCAACAGAACAACCTAACTTTACTGGACAAATTGAAACTGACCAATTACAACTTACTTATACCACTTGAGTCTTGCAGCCAACAACATCATGGCTAAATTGACCAATCAGTTTAAATGAACCACACTTAGTACATTGGACTGACAACTACTATTCACTTGACTCTGATGATGACAGTGGCTCAGGTTGATGAATTGTCAGTCATCACTACTGAAAAAGTTCCTCTGACGACTACACTAACCCAGACGATCAAACTGTTTAGGTGAATATCTCAGCGTGTGTTTTTCATTTATTTCATTCCTTTGTGGACACAATTGAGTACAAATCCAAGCATACGATTAAGCTGAATCAGCTCAAAGTTATTAAAAGGAAAAATTTCGTGGCGCTTGGTTCATCTTAGTAACTTCAAACTGATCTTCGACCCAAATCAGTCATATATCAATTAAAAAGGTCAGCTTTCAGGATTTCGCGTAAGAATCCTGCGCTAGAAAAAGGGCGTCGAGGTTTAAAACAACTAAGAAAACGTATTAATTGCTTTAAATAAAATATGGAAGAAGATTTCTACGAATAGCACTGTTACGACTATATCAACATTGATCACAATATAAGCTTGAGCGTCGAAATTTTGTAGTTTAGTAATGACAAAACGAATCATGTTACCTTCGAGAGGCTTCGTTATAATTACACTTATGGCATGCTTACCTCTCCTGGTGCATTCGAAAAGTCTCCACGGTAACGTTGCAAAGCAGTACATCGCGTACGGATGGCAGATCGGCCAAGAACAGTCAAAGTTCTCCCGGCAAACGACATCTTTAATTGGAGGATCGTGAGACAGCGCTACACTGCGCAGGTATCCACTGAGTGTGCCCCACAGCAGTACACGCTGGCCCGAGCCGAGTCGAGATGGCTGCCTGATAGGACACGATATTCTTTCGAATTTTCTCATCTGATACCATGGTGGGTAAGATACCCATGAATATATTTGACGCTCAATTTTGCATATCTCTGTTGCATTAATGAAGTTTTTCTTGAAATATATTTATATGTGATGTGATATATTCTATATGTACATGCAGTTTGATTTCGTTTTTAATTAACGAGCGAAATAAACTTTGTTGACTTATACATATGACTTTCTGATGTTCGTGAATTAAAGAAGTGAGGTGCTGATGCAACTTTTAAAAGGTATTATAACTATGGTGAATCCCAAGTTTTTTGCGTGTGTTTCGGAACACTCTGTGAACTTAGACGTTGCATATACGCTGTGCGCTGATAATTTTGAGGGACTTCCTCATCCATGGCACTCTGTTCTTTTCTTTGTCTAGTCTCAATACAGTGTCTGCTACAAGCAAGAGCAAGGTATGTTTAATTAAGGCAGTCCTCCCTGTTTAGTATTTTGTTATAGGGTTTTAAAATTTTTTCAAAATAATGAGAGGATTGGAAAAGTAAAAGGTGTTCAAGTAATATTCTGACTACAATATTCCACTGCAAATTATACCTTGAAGATTTACCGAACTATGAATTTTTTTTTTTTTTTTTGCATCAGTTATATACATGTATCCCTGCTATGGACCTTGATGAGATCTTACTAATTTTATAAACAGTCTCCAAAAGACAAGAAAGGAACCATATTTAGTATCAGCTGTCTGTGGCTGCCTCCTGACTTTTCATGTTAATCATGATTTTATTTTTTTCTTTCGAAGGTAAAAGCCTCATTTTTTTTTTTTTTCACTTATGTTGGTCAATTTTAGAACGAGTGGGTGTTTTTCCAAACGTTTTCCATAATCTTTGAAAAAAATTTCTTATGATTTAATGGATACGATTTTATTAGAAATTATTTGTCAGGTGTGACCTGACGATTCTGGTTAATAACAAAATGCTATCTGTAAATGTTTCAGCCATTGGTTAGCACCCTTAGAGTAGACACATGTTATGCATAACAAGGAATTTATTTTATCTCTAGCTCATGAGGACAGTATCTGGACAGTGGCATGGGGAACAAGTGATAAAGATGGTATAGAGAATATCATTAGTGGTGCTGTTGATGATATGGTCAAATGCTGGAGATGGTAAGGAAAGATGTGTGATTTAAATTTATCTTCATTTATTTGTTTAGAGCTAAACCTTTTTTTCTACCATTGCTCTTTTGTCAAGAATAATTTTAACTATGAACAAAAAAAAAATTTTTTGTCCTTTTTGCCCTCAAGAATTGCAGGAATATTTATAAGAGTGAATTAGATTGAATTGGACATTTTACGTAAGAGACCTACACTTACCCTGAGAAGCAGAAGACAAAAATGATACTGCTGATATCTCTGATCTCATAAGAAACATTGTAGCAATTAATTAATTAACTGATTTATTGTCCTCCATTTTGAAATCACTGGTGGTCCCTGTAATCTGATTGGCTCAAATTGGTGCGATTTATTCCCAAATTGCACCATTTTTTGCTCTAAATCACATCATTTGCACTTGACTGAGTTTTTGGCACATGACTTCAAAGTCTTTCTGTTTTGCACACAAAATATGATGTAAAAGGGTTTCAGGTTCCGCTTTTTATTTAAAAACCAGCTTAGTACTGCATCAGTTAAATACTTGAATTGACCAAGTCCTGTATTTGGGCGATTTCAAACTGGATGTAATAAAGTGGTAATTGAACCTCGTGTCATGCAATTTTGGTCTGAAATCATACTGGGCGATTTCAAACTGGATGTAATAAAGTGGTAATTGAACCTCGTCTCATGCAATTTTGGTCTGAAATCATACTTGTGATTTCAAATCACATGTATGATTTCAGCCCAAATTGCACTCCACTCAGTTCAATTACCATTATTAATCACTATCCCAGCTGATTTTTTGAAAATCTGAAAATCAACATGAACTAATTCCCCGACCAAGTCCATGCATTTGAAAGGAAACAAAATGTAAAGTTGTATGCAGCAGTTAAGGTACCATATGTATGACACTGATTATACTAATGTTAAATTATACTTTTAGGAATGAAGAAAAATTGGAACCTAGATTTAATTTTGAAGGTCATCAACTTGGTGTGGTGTCAGTGGATATTAATTTAACTGGGACAAGTATCCTACATCAATACCACAGTAGCTTGAACTTATGTATTTATAAACAACAACCTTACACTGTTATATTCTTGGGAAGGCTTCAGAACTTTTCAACCTTCATGCAGCTATTCATAGAGTAACTCAAATTAAACTCAATTGTGAAACGAGGTTCAAAAGTTCAAACAATTATGAGTATTCTCACATGTTTTTTTTTTTTTTTTTGAGTGTTCCTTAAGGAATTTTTTGACCACTTGAATTACCCCTGCCCTTTTTCTTTCAGAACACAAAAATCTTATTGGAAGGTAAAAAAGGTAGAATTTGAAATCAGTTACTGGGTACATTTAAAGTGGGGCCTGCTTCCTTAAAAGGGGAAATCAAGCACTCTGTTTGTTTGCTACTTCTCTGTCATGCAATGCACTTCTAGGTGCACTCCCGCTTGAAAGGGTTACAAATCCCCTGCTTGGATACCTTACTGACCTGGAAAGGTCTGGACTGTAGTAACATAGAGTTGTTTGCATGTGCATAATTCTCCAAATGGCTGATGATTTTGGTTTGCTAAAATGTTTATGAGCTGTTTGATCAACTGTAAAAATAGTCAAATCCTTTACAAAAGTACCAATAGTTGCTGCATCAAGTTCACTGGACAGTCATATCAGAATATGGGATTTAGAGTCTGGGAAACAACTGAAAGCCATTGATTGTGGTCCAGGTGCAATGCTGCAACTTCCATCTGATATTAACTTTAAATTCTTTACATGGTAGTCATGTCTTTGAATTACTTGCTTTCTTAGATGTAATGTTACAGAAAGAATGAATGATCATCTCTCTTAATTTGCTGCCACATTAGATAAGTAAGATAAAACTCATTATATAATTGGTGAATGTATTTCAAGTAAGAAGGTTGGAGTCCAGGGTTAAAAACTTGTACTTTTTATGGAAAACAGTATTTCACAATTATCTCATTATCTTTTGTATAATTGTGAAAATTAGATTTTGTGAGCTATCAGCCTTTCATAGAGAGGTTTAGTGTAACTACTTTAACACCAAAACCACATCATAGGTGATCATATACTAGTCACAGCCAATAAGAATGAAGAAAAATGTTGCAAGAAATCCTGGAGAGATTGAAAAGAAAACATGGAAATGGCACAAAGTCACAATTAGTCGATAGTTTGCATCTGATTGGTTGGGAGGGCAGCACGTTTTTTTTTTTTTTTTTAACAAAAACCATTCACAGAGAAAAGGAAAGGAAAACCATAAGAATCAATCACCACCCAATAGGGAATTTTTCCTTTTTGCAATCACTCACTGAATATTGGGTAAGATTTATTGTAACAGTTATTTTTTTTCCTTTACAGTGGACACATGGACTGTGGCATTTTCTCCAGACTCTAAACTTATAGCAACTGGAAGCCATGCTGGAAAAATTAACTTGATTGGTGTGGAAAGTGGCAAAAAAGAAAGTGCTTTGGATACAAGAGGAAAATTCACCATGAGCATAGCTTATGTATGTTTGTCATAGAGATTCTATTAAAATTGTGTCTTTTGCTCTCAAATCTATATCCAGTCTATTCCAAACTTGGCCAATTAAATATCCTTCTACAATCTACCTGTAAGCAAGAAATCTTCTTTAAAACTATAGTTCCTGGACTGGCAGTGGACATTGAAATGGATCTACTAGTCTACTATGACCTATTACTGTACAGTAATGATTATTCAAATTAATATCATAAATAATGATACTTCTATGAAAAATAGATAAATGATTAATAATAATAATTAACAATTATTTGCCAATATTCAGCGAACCTGAGGCGAATAATTGTTTTAGTATAATTTCAGAGCTGAACAACAGAGAAATTTCTAAAATCATAACATTTTAGTAACATTTATTAACATTTTATTTTAAAATTTTATATAAATGGCATGGAACAGTTTATATAGCATCATGTAAGGAACCACTCAACCAATCAGACTGCTGGAAAATCTTTGCTCAGCTCTGAAATTATACTAATAGTTATTATTACCATCTTATTTATTATTATTATTATTATTATTATTATTACTGTTATTATAAATTAGAATTGTCATTACTGACACAAATAGTATGATTACTTGTTACCAGTATCCTATATTTAATTGCAGAGTCCTGATGGTCATTACATTGCTTGTGGAGCCATTGATGGAATAATCAATATTTTCGACCTGACAACAGGAAAGTTACTTCACACTCTTGAAGGTAAAAAAAAAATTGAAATTACTTCTTCTTGAATAGTCCTTTAATGGCTTTGGCAGTGATTCGGCGATTGTTTAATTTATCTTTCAGGTCATGCCATGCCCATCAGATCTTTGACATTTTCACCTGACTCCCAGCTTTTGATTACTGCTTCAGATGACAACCATATCAAGATGTATGATGTGTACCATTCACGACGCCTTTTTCATCATCAAATGAATCTGATTCCCATGTCAGCCTCTGCTTTCTGACCAAAATATTGCAGATTTTATTGCAGCTGTTGGATGAAGATGTACATGCAAATATACATGTACATGTATCCACCATTAAAATCTTATGCTTGAGCCATTTCATTAGCATGTTCAATTAGTAGATGCAAGATATAGACGTGTTGACAATCATTTTAACGCCTAGATTTAGATGATTTTTTTTTTTGTCTTGTTTTCTCTGTTTTTTTTTGTTTGTTTGTTTTGGTGCTTTTTTCCTACAGACAACATGCTAACTTAGCTGGGACTCTGTCAGGACATGGTTCATGGGTGCTTGGAGTTTCATTTTGTCCAGACAACACACACTTCGTCTCAAGGTATTCACCATTTTATATACCGGTAATTCTTAAAATGATTTATAGACGAATTCTATTAAAGACAAAGAGATTCTCTGGTGATTGTGGTAAACTGCAAAGGCACAAAGATTTGTGCATTTTGAACTGGGTTAAAGAACAACCATTTAATGATATGTTGTTTTGTGTATTTCAGTTCCAGTGACAAGACAGTAAAAGTTTGGGATGCAGGCTCACGGCAGTGTATTCAGACATTTTATGAACACAATGATCAGGTGATCATGGAATTGAATAACTCAGATCATTTAGTGCTGCTGCTGTGACTTAGTGAAATACGTGTCATGTAGAATTAAGTTCTTCTTGTCATTAGTTACGAGGAAAATCTGAAATACCGAGAGATTGTTCATGATTAAATGTTTATGGGACTAATATACCACACGATAACCAACACGAAGTGGTCATTAACAAGTTATTAATTGAAATCCACCAAAACGTGCCTAATCATGTCAGATAAGAAGTGTATAAAAAATATTACATCACTACAAACCCATCACAACACTACGACAGTTACTACCAAACGTCAAAGGCAAGGACGAACCAAGAAACAGACAAGAAGTGGTTCACATACCGCCGCCCAGTTTGCCCAATGGATAGTGCGCTGGACTGTTGTGCGGGAGGTCGAGGGTTCGAGCCTCGGCCGGACCAACACTCAAGGTCTTAAAATAGTTGAGAAGAATTTGCTACCTTTCTATAACATCTGGAAATGGTTATTTATTCTAGTCTTCTCGGATTGGGACGAATAAATGGAGGTCCCGTCTCCTGCAGGGTTGGGGTAGGAGACGTTAATTTCCCACGCACGAGATTACTGTGTGATGGATGTCCTCCCCGGGATGGGATGGTGGGTACAAAGGGGTTAGGTGTCAATTGGGACGAAAGTCCTGTTCCTTTCCCCTGCCACTCCCGTGGCGAATGGATTAAACCTTAAACCTTAAACCATATGATCAGTTGCTGTGAATGCCACGCCTCCCACATCGGAGAGACTGTCAGAAACCTCACAACAAGACTGACTGAACACAAACAGGCCACGAGAAATGGTGATGTCAATAATTACATTGCTGAACATCATCGACTTCGTATGATGCACGATCCTCGCAGTAGATAGCGCTATTTAAGCAATAACGAAAATCAGACCTGAAAAAAAAAAAATCAGGCCTGTGCGGGATTCGAACCACTGACCTCTGCGATACTAGTGCAGCGCTCTACCAATTGAGCTAACAAGCCAACTGGGAGCAGGCCGTTAAGTTGATTCGTAATAAACCCGTGAAAGTGATAAATCAGATACAATGAAATATATGAAGTTCATATATTTTGTACAGTTGGCTTGTTAGCTCAATTGGTAGAGCGCTGCACTAGTATCGCAGAGGTCAGTGGTTCGAATCCCGTACAGGCCTGATTTTTTTCAGGTCTGATTTTCGCTATTGCTTAAATAGCGCTATCTACTGCGAGGATCGTGCATCATWCGTATCTAATACCGCAGTTCAAAATATATGAACTTCATATATTTCATTGTATCTAATTTTCACTTTCACGGGTTTATTACGAATCAACTGAACGGCCTGCTCCCAGTTGGCTTGTTAGCTCAATTGGTAGAGCGCTGCACTAGTATCGAATAGGTCAGTGGTTCGAATCCCGTACAGGCCTGATTTTTTTCAGGTCTGATTTTCGCTATTGCTTAAATAGCGCTATCTACTGCGAGGATCGTGCATCATACGTATCTAATACCGCAGTTCAAAATATATGAACTTCATATATTTCATTGTATCTGAATCATCGACTTCAAAACCATACTTTTGACTGGAATTCTGCGCAATACTTAACCTACAGCACTAACTACTTTCAAATACTAACTCTGGATAGCTGATTTACTAACTTAGAACAGACTCCCCTAAACATGTGTCAACTATTACCAGCACCATACAAACGACCTATTTACAACATTAATTTTACAAGCGAACCGAACAGAACGACTTAATTTTACCAACGGATCGAAACAGACCAATCACGACCGACTTACGCCACTTGAGTCTTACAGCCAATTACATTACGTCAAAAGTGACCAATCAGAACATTCGACTGACAACTATTCACTCGACTCTGATGATGACTTCCGCTCAGGTTGTCGAAACGTCAGCCACCACTACTGTAACGACAACGGTCTCTCTCAGGACTACACTCACCCAGACCGTCAGAGTACACTATCACATGTTACCCTCGGGTTCAAACCATTTAACTGTAGTATAAAAACGTAGTGGGACATGAAATTTTGTCATCTATCGACTTTTTCTTTCATTCAAGTGGTACATGTATAGGGTCTAAAGGCATCACCAGACCGAATATCTAATGAAAAATTTTTTAAAAGTGATTTTTACCAATTATGTTTAACACGAAGAGAGCCTTCGTTCAATTTTTAGTTGAAGATAATAAACGTTTGTATTCTGTTCCGATAAAAACATCTTAAAGTAAGCATCTCAATCAGTCTTCCTTTGACATTACCAGGCAGATGAAAAAATGTATTAGCATATTTTTTCACAAGGTAGAGCCCATTGTTTTTATATCAAGAACTTACCTGGGCATTTGTGGAGACTTTTTCACCAAATAAGTGTGATTCCTGGTTGTTCACGATTAGTGCGAGACTGTATGATCCTATAGTGTAATCTTTAAAAACAACAATGGAATGTTTGTTTTGGAAAGTATACCCTGGTGAATCCATTTTACTAATATGACCGTTCTGACTCGTTCTCTCTATCTCGGCTGGAGTTTCCAGTTTGTTCTGCAATCGTCTTTTGACGAAATATCTTAATTGTTTTCTAATTTCATTGCTGATTTCCTTATTATAATTTAATTTTCTGTACTGTAGGTTTGGGGAGTGAAGTATAACGCCACAGGCTCCAAGATTGTCTCCGTTTCTGACGACAAATCCATTATTGTTTATAACTGTCCTCTGTAACCTTTCATGTATTATGTTTTCTCCTGTAATAAAAAGTGAATTAAATCGGTTCTATTTCTTTTGATGAGTGGATTGTCTCAATTTCCTCTCGTGCCTTAACTTCTAAAGAGACGCTTGTCTAGCAGACCAACGGAATTGGATTCGGTCTTCTGCTTGTAAGTTATCTTTCAAGTCATTTGCGATGCCAGGATTTCTATCAAAGGACTAAGGCGCTAATGTACGCGAGTGGTTTTCCTGTCAACCGCCTTTTTTCGCTAACCCGCTCTGTTCGTATCTTCTGATCGAGGAGTGGAGCAGGCTATCAAATACGTAATCGACATCCACTTTGAAACCTGCAGAAAAAGCGATTTTTTTTCTTTTTTTAGTTTTAAGTTTTCAGTCGAACGGAGGCAAGCGCGAGACGAGAACGAAGTGGTACCCTCGCGCGTTCGCCTGGCCTTGTCTCCGTTTACCGGTTTTGCAGGCTATGGTCACCCTTGAACTTAAATCTTTCGTTGTGAATCTGTAGGATTATCCGTATTGGTCCGGGAGCGCGACTGTGAATATCGAACGATATGTTTAAGCCGCAAATTTGAAAGTAGGAAATAGAGCGACTTGCAGCCTGGTTTCTCTTCCTCTGCTGAGTCGTCATGTTTAGAGTTCAACAGAAACTCAACAATTTTTCAAGCTTGTTCTGCCGGGGAAAATTTCACTGGAAAATGTTGAGAAAAGCTTGGCAAGAATATAGGGTGAAGGGAACTATTAATTATCATGATTTTTTTTTTCTCCCCTTCAAGACTTAAAAGTTAGTACCAACCCCACCTCCACCTAAATCAGCACCGTCTACTCACACCAGTAATTACACAAAAACTCGTTGCACGGGAAGCTAGAAAATGACCAGAAAACGTATTCTTATAAGGTAGAGTTTTCAGTGACAACATTATCCGGAGTTCTCGAATATCTCGATTTTTCTCTGGTCCCAATTTTGTCATGAATATTTATTAATCATGACCAAGATCCGTAGCTGTATTCTATTTAAATTACAGCGTTAAAAAGTGAAGTAAAGGCGAGTTTGTTTCGCTTCCAAAAAGCAAAAGCAGCGCTCGAACGCGTTGTAGCTAATGAAGAACATTCGAATGAGGTCTGATTCAGCTTAAGAGTTCCTCATCAATGCTCATATTCTCGATTATCTGGACTATTTCGTCTAGTCCCAACGAGTACGGATAATCACGGTTCGCCTGAAGCTTGCCCTCTGCTAGCGTGCGCTCATCGAGATCTCTTATACCTCCCAACTCAAAGACGTTTTCCGATTGGGGGAGAATGTGTCGCATACCATTGGTCAAAAGCTCAGTCCATACGGAAACAATAAACTTAAACTTTCGACCCGTACCGTGATCAGCGCGGCAAAACTGTGTCCCAGCTTGCGTCAAGAAATAACTTTCTTTTGCAGTCATGCAGCTAAACGCTTTCAAACAGGATTAGTTTGTAAAATAATTAAGACGAGAAGTGTAGCAAAACACTTGACAACTGACCCGACAGGAAGCTGCATGGTGAGGTTTGTTTCCCTTTGGGTTGCTAGTGAACCGTGCTTATCGAAGAACGCGGAGGTTCCCACTTGTAGAGGACAAAGGATGGGTAAGATCCGCTCGAGGCGCAGCTTAATATCTAGATGAACCCAAAGTGATGTATGAATGACATATTTTTATAACATATTCAATACCGTAGCTTGAATGTTGTATGAATAAAAAGGTTTTCTTCGCATCGATTCGCACACGGTGATCAGCGTGTGCTCAACTGAGGGAAGTATGATGCACAATCACGGAGTTGAATTTGAATTACGTGAATATAACGTATGGTATATTGGACATTGAGAGAATCACAAAAGGTACATCAAATATCAGTATCTGTACAAAACAATTGCCTCAACAAACCTTTACTAACAGCAATGACTCCAGTTTCAGCAATACATACCAAATAAAAACGCCAAAACTGTTCATCTACGGCTAGATATGACAAAGAATTAAGTTTGAATGCAATAATAAATTACCTTTCTTTCGGTTTCTATCGGTTTTAACAAGATATTAACCTTTACTAAGCTTATTAGTTTACAATCATTCCAGTGACTGGTTTTTCAATTAACTTCGTGGAAGAAAACAAAACGCTGCACTCCTAGAAGAACAAGGGAGCCGAACTTCTCCCGGTTTTGTTTCGAGTTGTTTTTATTCCTTGTTCGATACTTAGTTTCTCGAAAGGCTCTCGCTTAAGATACCCTCTTACTTGTTATATTGATGGCTTCCGGTTCGCAAAGTGAACTTGAAATATACTGTTGCATCTTGGGCGGATCCAGGATTTAGTCAAGGAAGGCTCGGAGAATTGTCTGAGGGCATGCTCCCCCCGCAGATTTTGAAAATTAGGTCTTCGGAAACATGATTTTCAGCATTTTGAGGGATGATGTAGGGGGTTAGACTGAACCCGACCCGAGCCACCCCTGGATCCGCCCCTGTAATTGTTGGCTTTACTTTTCTTGTTCCTCTCGGCCGGCGCCGAAATCCAGGATGTAAATTCCATGAATTGCATGGCATCTCTTATACATCCCACACTGATGGCCGTGATCTGTATGCATGTGTTACTCTATGGAATGTCCTGTTCGATCTTGGGCCTTGCACTCGAGACACCTTCTATCAGTGGGGTGTGTTTGTAACAGTGGCCTGTGTTGTCTTTACCTTCTCCATTCTCACAGAGTAGGTAACATTTCAAAATCTAACATGGATTCCAAACTTTTCAAAAGGCCCGGAATCATTTGCGATTACGAACTTGAAAATCATTTGCGGTCTAAAGTCACTTGTGGTCGTGGGACCATTTGCGTAGTTATAATCATTCAACTGATTCAAGCAGATGAATGACGCTCGGTTTCACTTCCTCGGTTATGATTATTTAAACCGGCACTGATCAGTCTTGGATCACCAGATAGTTGAAGCCTCAAAGAGTCACAAGCAGGTAAGTGCTCTCGTTTAATTAGTTTCTTTCTGTCTGCTCAATGTGCCGGCCCGCATCCCCATCGATGAAGTCTCTTTTAGAGACAAAAGTATACAATTTGTCAGTTTTGTAGCCGGTGCAAGCTAAGACAAGTTCGTTAAGCTTTTCGTGGTTATGCATAGAATAAAGATGAATAGCCTGCGAGCAGGCACTCACTAGGGACCTTAGGTAGTCAGGACGGCAACACCGAGGAAGACGTCGATCAAAAAATTGAATTCATATTTTTAGATAGAATTTCGCAAATGGCTGGACGTGATAACCGCGTCTTAAAGAGCAGCACCTTTACTTCAGCAGTTCAAAATGGGAACTTAAATAATTTGCCGTTGGGGTTTCCGTTCTCGGATCACGCAAAATTTGGTGATTTCACTTAATTGTTTTGCAGGGGACAGCTCAAATTATATGTAAATAGCTTTACGATTGAGTTTTTGAAATAAACCCTCTTATAGGAAATTAACGATACACTTTCTTAACGCGATTTTAAAAAAAATTGCCTGAATTTAACGTACTTTAATTTACTTCGTTGTTACTTTAAATCACACTATTTTACATCATTGTTGTTTTACGGCACCTTTATTTCAATATCAGAACCTCATCTGCTTATAGCTGCTCTACTATCAATGCCTCAGAGTCACTATCTACAGTTTTTCTTTAAGAATTCAGTTTAAAATGTCTATCGACTTGCCTTTCATGGTATCGATCCGTTTACCAGAGGAATTGAATAGCTAACTTCTTTGGTCTATTTTCTTAAGATCTCCAAGAACTGTTCGTCCAAGGCAGTGTTCCCTCTCTATATCCATTATAATTACGGAGTAACAACAATGAGCTTTTCCTTTAGATGTATATGTTTATATATGATTGTACTGCAGCAGAGTCGCGTGAAATTAAGTAAGTCGCACGTTGTTTTCGAGAATTTCGCTTTAATTTGATCTGTGTAAACCTAACTTTTGGAAAATTCGTGATAATGTTGTGTAACGTAAATATTTTTCGCGTTGTCGACATGCATCGTTAATTTCCAATTGTAAGGTAACTTAAATTCAAGTATGCATGGAGTAATTGACGTGTTCTTCCTACCATGCTACATTTTCCTCTAAAATCTATTCGTTGAAATAAGCTTTATTTTTTCTAATTGAGATAAGGTTGGTTAAAAGTTCTGAGTGGCAGCCAGATGTCTGAAAACCTCGATACCAAATTGTTATCCAAATTTCTGGATCAGTTGGAAAAGATGATAAACTCACGAAAGGAAATGACAAGCTGGCTTGAGGAATTTATTGACGACATCAAGAATCAAGAAATAGCAATAAACAGTGCCAAGACTGGTGGAGCGGTGCTGGGTGTGGTATCTTTTGTTGGCCTCTTCACTCCATTTGCACCCCTTGCTATTGCTGGTATTATTGGAGCCGGAGTCGCTGGTGTGGGTACTGCGATTGGTGACTTAATTGCCAATAAGGTGAAAGGAGGAAATCTTGAAGCAAAAGTAGAAACCATGAAAGCCCAAAACTCTGAGTTGGAAAATTTGCAAAAGGAGCTCAATGCACAAGCTGAAATACTTGCAAAGGTAATTAAGATAATAACACCGAGGTTAGCAAAATGTTTCGTGCTTTAGCCGCGGTCTCTGGGTCTCCAAACTGGATATGATATAGTAAAAACAAAGAAAAATGTGAAAAGCCAAAAGGGATGGTAATTATACCAACATCAAAGGAAGACGTCAAATTATTGCCAATGATGAGATGAAAGAGATGATAAACTGATTTAGCATCGCATAATTCGCTAGGGAAACACAATACTGCAAGATTAAAATGAGCGTGCTTTTTTCTTTTGCTTAGAGACTGGATATTCCCAAAGACGATGCAATCCTTTTCCTTTTGGTTGGTGTTCCAAAAATGGCTGCTCAAGTTGGCGTTCAAGTCGTGAAAGGTACTGTCGAAATCGCCAGAATTCTTCCACACTTAAATGCCATAAAAGAAACCATGAAACTGGGGGCCTCGTTTACTCAAGCGTTGAAGCTGAGTGGCACAGTGTATCAAGGTGGTAGATTAACAGTTGTAGGAGGCATAGAAGGTGGAGTAGTGGCAGGCACAACACTGGTAGTCAACACAGCAACGAAGGTCCTTGGTGGTTTAGGGGCCGTGATTGGGATTGCTGATGCCATTCATAGCTGGATGAGCAAAAATCCGAACCGAAAATCAGCTGAGGATTTGCTGCCACAGTTAGAAGAAAACTTGGAGTCCCTAAAAGAAGCCAAGGTGAAGTTTGAAGAAATGAAGAAAATGTGACACTTAAGCATACAGTCTAATGTTGTGTTTAAACCAAACAATTTCGAGTAGTAACAATCAAGAAAATATTCTCTTGTGACTATATGTTTAGGCTCCTAATTAGCCGTGTGACCTTTCTCTTTTTTTATTTTTATGATAACCGCGAGCCTCTTCGACTCTACGAGGAGATCATTTATTGTTAGCGTAGCGTGACATATCTGAGGCTTAAGCCGTGATACACTTAATGAGAGTTTGTATCTATTTGCAGAAAGAGATGTTGGAAGGTTTTTTTTTTCATCGAAGCTGCCTGATAGGGCTGTAAAAATACTTTACTTCACTTAGTCTGTGGAGAGTGTGGGCGTAATAGGTATAACTGAAAGTGAACAAAGCGACCACTATTGCCAGATTGAGTCAAATTGAAATCTTGAATTTGCGTGTCCATTTTATTAGCTTAAGCTTACTACAAAAGAAAATAAATTAAGTATTGTTTGGTTATGTTTTATTGAGTATATATTGGCGCAAAACCATTTTCGACTTAGCCTGCGTGACATCCCTTCTGCTATAGTGGTGTGCAAGTTGCACTCACATCGATAAAGTGACTGAGGACGCGGGCAGAATCCGTTGATATCCGCCATTATTAGTATGAACTACCGCTGTACGTTTGGTCCCAGACTCCTGCTACTTGTTTCTCGTCCCTCGTTCCCCGTTCGTCGCTTTCCCTTCCCATTCTCCTTCCCCTCCCCGTTCGATGAATGAGTAACACCCAACCAGAAAGCCTATTAAGAATAAGGAAAAACCCTCTCCAGGCTGAGGGGAAAAAACTTTCAAAAGTTTAAAAAATATGCCTATTTTGTACGTTCAATCAGGAGTTGATTAGTCTCCTTCTCAGCCGTTCTGACGAAATCAAACGAAATTGGGAGCACTTGCAAAAACTTTCCTCCATGAAATTGTAAACCGATCAACGAAGTCTTACCAAAGTCCCCCGCAATTCAAAAGTCCTTCAACAAAATCTTATATCGTTGATGACGATTGTTCTGACGACTGAGTTCGAAAACTGCTGCTTGCTCATTTTCTGTGCTGTCGTCCGCCATTTTGAAATGTTATGCGGATTACCCATGTGGTGTGCGGCTTATTACCGCTGTGCATTCTGGGCCTAGTGACCTCCACGCGAGTAAAATCAGCATGAAATCCTGGCATTTCTATTCATGTTAATTAATATGGGCATGCATACTTTGTTATCGTACCTGAAAGGGGTGAAAAGAGAAACTTTCATTAGCCGATTAGAGGAAAAACGGCTGCTGTAGACGTCTTTTGTTTGCTTCACAAGGCTTTGACAATAAATATCCAGCGATCTGGTAAATCCGAAAGGTACATTTTAGCGACTGAAAGCAAATTAGTTTCACCTATTAAATCACCTTCAGGCGTTTCCGAACTCTGTTTTCTTGCATCATTGGTTTTCTAACTGTAAGAGTTAAATTCTTTTTATACCGATTTTAACATGACAACAGTTATCTATGCATTTGTACCCGATTTTCGCAGCGGCGTAAACCATTTGTTGATCTTGATGGATTTCCGGCCCTTCCTTTTTAGATCGCTAAATAAGAGGAATGTAAATGGTTAGACTAGAGACTAGAGGGCCGAAAGTATCGCATAATTTCATAGTTTTATACTAGATTTTGGTCCAACATTTTAAAACTGGAGGCCACTTACCTGAAAGCAGCAGAAGAGTTACAATTTTGCGAGCAGCTCAGGTGTTACAATTTTGCGCTTCGATTTTTCGCAATATTCATATTTTCACGAAATCATGGAAGTCTCTGAAACATTAATCTTAGAAAGTAAGAGGAACTTTTGAAAAAAAGTATAGCATTGGAAAAAAAGTATAGCATTGGAAAGAGAGGGGAAAAGAAAATTAATAGGCGAGGAAATTAAAAAAATCAGGCTTTCGAAATGATATCTACAGTTGGCTTGGTATAAGTCTGCCAAAACTTTTATGAATAGTTGGCAAGCCATTGGCGTGTGATCCTTTCCAGTACAGGGCCACATATTCGATCCAATACTGACGTTTCTTCTCCTGACCATTCTTTGGAACGCATGGTATTATTAGAAGAGCTGATTGTACTAGAAAACAAACTCCCTCGAGCTAGTTTATCGACGGTGCTTTCTGCTGGTTCGTTTGAGCTTTTCTTCGGGGCTGTCTTAACTAAACGCCAAAAGGCGTTCTTTTGCTCACTGCTGCTTACGTTAAGTCGGAGCTTAATAATTTTTAATCAATCTGTCACAGTTTCTCCGATACTGTAAGGCTATGTTACCGACTTCGCGCGAGCAAACAATCGCAACACCAAACTTCGCAAAGCAAAATACCGTCAACTTCGAACGCAGTTTTCGGAGGTGCGATGCACTCACTGAATAGTCCTATCTTAAGGGGAACAGTTAGGTGAACTTTTTGGTAAATTGGGAGCAAGGAATTGTAAAAAATCAGAGAATAGGGTGCGATTCCTAAGGATTTGCACACTACCTGCGGATTTTCACTTGTGCTCTCGGTCCCAGACTGGGGTTCCGCGTCATCTGTTCCCGGTTTCCGTTCTTACTTTTAGTAATATCTATGTTACGTGGTTATTTTTGATAGAGTGTTTAGAGGAAAAACCTTATTTTTATAGTTGCACTTTACAGATCAGAATATCGACTTAACTTGCGTAGTAGGCCTTACCAAAGCGAGAAAAGCTTACATAAGCAAAAGTGAAGATAGTGAAAAAGCAGAGTTTAATCTTGTTTTTCTTTTTCCTTTTTAGTTTTCTGCCTTTTTTATGTGTATCAAAAGTTAATAATCTCTTATTTGAATTTACTCTTTGAATCTCCGGCCGAGGTAAACCGATCGAAACGAACCTTTTTCTCACGCATGCCTCTTTCAAGTTATTGATTTTAAGTAAAACTCTGCTTTGACTAATAATTCGCCGAGTTCATCTGATAGTTGAAAGCGAATGGGAAATTTGTTACTTTTTCGATGAATACTTGACAAAAACTGCCAAACAACACTCTTACAATTGAAAGCCCACTTTTGATATCACACGCTACCTGTCAGACAATGAATTAAAGTTGCCGGTTGAGACAGTTTTTCCCAAAAAAATTCAATAACATCCAATGATCCTCACTATTCTTGAGTACAGAATTAGTGCTGAAAAGGCTCTTAGGAAGATTTTAAGGTACTCCTAGTAGAAGTGTTACTTTCGGTTATGATGCACGCACTCAACTGCACTTGTTCCTTGCACGTCTAGCTTAAAGTGCTTCGCAACCTCTGTATTAAGAAATTAGTTCTAAAGGAACGGTTTTCAACAGTCGTTTATGCCGATTCCAGCAGCCACTCATCATGCCTAACTACTTAGATTCATAAGGGGGGGGTAAGTTTCTGAAGAAACTGTGGTGCTGCGTTTGTAGGGGTATTACAATATAATTTGATTTTATCAACTGATGACAATGAAAACTAGCCACCGTACAGAGTTTCTAGGACGTTAGCCCTTCGTCAGTGCGAATAGGGGAAGTGTGGGTTGCGTTACTCTAGTCCTCTATTTGCTTGACAAAGGTCTACTGAACGCTGGAAACTCCAGCTTTAGAAAATCTCTACGATGGCCAATTTACACCATCAACTCCTTGATAAAACCAAATTATTTTTTAGTTAGATTGTTGATTACAAGTACCTCGCTCTGAAAAAAGGTTGATTGTAATAAAAACAAATCGTGCTCAGCATATATATTAAGGTGGTTATTTCCGTTCGTACTGAAACCTATAACAAAAAACAATCTCTAAATTACTGTCTCTAAATAGGCTATCGCATAGGTGTATACTTAAAAGTAAATCCCGAATTAAAAGCACTTCCTTTAACATCAAGCTTGTCTGTGCAGTTTCACTCTAAAATAAACATGAGAGCAATTACTCAAACACTTGTCTGTTGACAATTGCCAACTTCTGCAACACCTGCCTATTCAGAAGGTGCACCATTCCAGATAAAATTTAACAAGTTCAAAGACAAAATATCAATTTCGATATAATTTTAACTGAAAAGTTCTCGATCAAAAAATCTGCTAATCTTATTACTGAGGGAATAAAGAACAGCCGAAAGAGAACTTAAGGACAGAGAACTAGCCGGAACCTGAACTTTCTTCTTCATTTCAGATATCACTTCCTCGTCGAGTTCTTTTGACTCATTCAACTACACAATTTTGGCTATCCCTGTATAGGCTGCTGTTCAAATTTGATTTTTGGTTTGGTTTTTAATGCGAACGGAAATGACATACTTAAAACATTATATGCTAAGAACGATTATTTTCTCACGGTAAAATAAATCTTTTTCCACTTACTTGTAATTAAGAAGCTAAGTAAATACGCAGGATTAGTGATAAGAATAAAATTGTTCCTAGCATATAGTATATCAAGATGTCATTTCCGTTCGCATTGAAAACCATACCAAAAAATCAATCTCTAAACTGACTGTCCCTAAATAAGCTATCCCGTGAGTATATATACTTAAAAGCAACGTAAAAGCAAATTCTGTTTTCAAAGCACATCCTTTAAGGACAGGCTTGACAATGCATTATCACTGAAATAAACGTGAGAGTAATGACTGAAATACTTATCTACTCAACTGATAACAACAGGCAACTTATGCAACACCTGCCCCGAAAGGAACATTATATTCCACATAAATTTAACTAGCTTAAGAACAAATCACCAATTGCAATTCAATTCAGTTTAAAACGTTCAAGTTAATTCAAAAAATTTCGCAATTGTATTCTTTAGCAAGGAAGGCAAGGCAAAGTTGATTACGCGAGCCGTGGCAGGGGGACAGTCGTAAGCGGATCCTGAGAAGTTTGACTTCCCTCTTCGCTTCATACATGTGACTTGTCTGTCGATTTCCTTTAAACTATTTGATGGCAATTGAACCATTGGCCATCCATGTATATTCTAGTTTCACTTAGAATCGTAATTAAAAGCAAAAAGTGGTGAGTTGCTGATCTACCTTGACGAATGCGTGCTCAACACTTAATACTCAATACTTAGTTGGTAGGAATTAATAGAGAAATAGCTTGGAAGTATCCATTAGAAAAAAAAAATTGAATCAACGAAATGGTAAAGAATTTCTTTTTTTTCTCACTTGAGTTAGGAAAAAAAAGTTCATTGCTGCAGAGAATAGTCCACTGTACTGCTTCCAGATAAATGAGTTC